ATAAATTTATCAGTTACTTCAATTTACAGGGCCGTAAAACAGCTCAAAGATGATGAAAGGCTAGAATCCACTAATTCAGAAGACGTGCTGCATGTAGACAGTCTGTAGTTTTCCACTGAAGAGCACTTTTTTTTTCCTCTGCAAAAGGAAGGTCATGGCTAGGGCAGACTCCAAGGTCTCTGAGCTGATGATCATTCATGAGATTAGTGTGACTCACACACCACGAATGCAAGAGCCTTTCTGAATACACTGGGGAAAAGCACACCTCACTTGCAGAAGCCCACAGCCTAAAATCAACATCTCTTTAAAATGAAGGCCTCAAGACACTTAAGATTGTTTTTAGCTGGATTTGAGCATCTGTGTTACATTATGGGCTCGGGAACATTCTTGAATATCTTGTGGGTCTATACAATGGCTTGTAGTTTTTACTGGACTCTGATCCTGACTCTGCTGTGCAGTCCTAGGCAGTTACAACCATCTCTCTGATTCTTTGACATGCAGTTTGTGTTTGCTCTTTTATTTTTCCCACCGTGTAACATGCAGGATCTTAGTTCCCTGACCAGGGATCGAACCTGCAACCCCTGCAGTGGAAGCGTGGAATCTTAACCACTGGACCACCAGGGGAAGTTCCCGTGATGTGCAGCTTGTCTTTGAAGTGGGATATTAACAGTAGCTACTTCATAGATTATTGTTTTTCACCAGTAGGCATTCACAATATCAGCATTGTAACTTAATAAAACCATTTCTCTGAAAATGTACTGTGGTCTCTGAGATTCTTCTTTATCAGCCCAGCCTTCTCTTCTCTCTTCCATCCTGATCCCTTTCTGCTCTCATTTAACCCCTCATTTCTACCATCTGTGGCCCTAGCAGAGTAGGGGGCAGCATTTGGTTGACCTGCAGGGGACGGCATGTGCTGGGTGTAGCATCAGGTTAGGGGGACTCGGGACAGGGTGACAAACAGAAAGCCTCGGGGTTCCCTAGTAACCCCATGCTGTCCTTGGTCCCGATTCTGTGTTTACTGAGCCCAGGTTCTCAGATAGGGACTTGCAGTGGTGGCAGCGTGGGAACTGCCTGGGGGGCCCTCCTAATAGGTAGGCGTTTGGGCATATGAGAAATTTAGTCTCCCTCCAAGATGGTGTGGTCTGCTTGCAGCAATTCCATAGCCACATTGCTTACTTATGCAACCACGTGCAGTTGGCAGGCAAGAATGATTCCCATTTTGCATCTAGAGAAGCTGAGGACCCTATGAGAGGCTTGAGGGTTGGCTGCCCCAGGGCTCAGCGCCCGGCTCACTAGCTGATGGTGCCCTCTAGTGGCCACGCAAGGCACTTCAGGAAGGCCAAGTCTGCCTTCAGGAAGCCCAGATCTGCCAGAAGCATCTCCCTGGATTTGTACACAATGGAAAGCCTTCGTAGGATGCCAATGGCAGGCATGGTACATCCCCCACCTCAGGACTCCTACGTCACTTTTATCAGCTCCTCTCCCAGTCTCCAAGTCTTAAATTATGTATATTATTTAACTGTGGTAAAATGTACATAACATAAAATTACCAATCATAGGACTTCCCTGGTGGTCCAGGGAAGAATCTGCTTGCCAATGCAGGGGACGTGGGTTTGAATCCTGGTCCAGGTAGATTCCACATGCTAAGGCAACTGAGCCCGTGCACCTAGAGCCCGTGCACCACAACTAGGGAAGACCACATGTAGCAATGAAGATGCAGCACAGCCAAAAACAAAAAAGTAATAATACAGAAGAAAATTTAAAAAATAAATACATAACTGTTTTAAGTGTACAGCTCAGCAGCATTAACTACATTCACAGTCATCTCCAGACCACTTTTCTTTGTGTAAACTCACACTCTGTACTCACTAAACAACTCTATACCACCGCCCAAAACCCCTACCCCACCGTCCTATAAATTTGCCTATTCTAAGGTCTCACATATGCAGACTCATACAGTATTTGTCTTTTCATGACTAGCTTACTTTACATTGCTGAAATATCCCTAGAGGATGAGATGGTTGGATGGCATCACCGACTCAATGGACAAGAGTTTGAGCAAACTCCAGGAGATAGTGAAGGATGGAGAAGCCTGGCATGCTGCAGTCCATGGGGTTGCAAAGAGTTGGACATGACTTAGCAACCAAACAACAAATGGCGTGTTTGTGTGCATGCTCGCTCAGCTGTATCTGATTCTGCAATGCCATGGACTGTAGCCCTCCATGGTCCTCTTTCTATGGAATTCTCCAAGCAAGAATACTGGAGTGGGTTGCCATTTCCTCCTCCAGGGGATCTTCCTGAGCTAGGGATGGAACCTGCATCGCTTGTGTCTCCTGCATTGCCAGGCAGGTTCTTACCTGCAGGGCAGGTGCTTACCACCGGGAAAGCACCCCTTTATGGAGTGATTTATAAACGTGTGGCCCAGAAGACAAAGCCATCCCCCAGAATTTCATCCAGACACCACCCTTCCAAACACAAGTAACCAGAAACAGGCTGCGACGTGTCTTTATTACAGCACAAGATGACAATTTAATGACAGGAAAAACTACAACAAACCAAACTAGGAGAGAAAAGTGCCCCTGACAGCCAGGGGAGCTGCTAGCCTGGCTCTCACCTGAGCCTTGGTGAGCACCAACCTCACGGCGCACTGGAGGCAGGTCCTGGAGCCCAGCACCTCCGGGCCTGCTGCTAGAATTGCCAATACCCTCCATCGTGTGAGCCACTGCTGCCCCCTTACCAACCACAGCTACAGCGTCTCCTTCAGGAGAGCAATGAATCGAGCTTCTCAACCATAGAACGCCTGCTGCTTCCTGGCAGCACACATCCAGAGCAAACCTCTGCTTTCTTAAGTCTCCCCAAATCCCTCAATACCTGGCCATGTTCTACAAGCCCCCTAACGCTAAGATGCCCTGCTAGTCCTCATACAGTGCAGCCCCCCACCCCATCCTGCGGCAGCCAGCATAATAAACCCAGCTTTGTTTACTGAGAGCATGTCCCACATGCTTCTCTCTGGAGTTGCACTCACCACGCCCAACTGGTGGTGAGCAAGCTCACGGGGAGTGTGGCCCATGTACAGAGCACATCCAGTGGGTGGTGCTGACTCTGCTAAAGGATTCAGTGGCCTTGGAGGGCTTCCCCACCCTGGTCACCCAGCCGCTGCTTCACTGCCGGTGGCCATGTCCAAGAACAGCCGCATCTGTGTGCTGGCTGGTGTAAGTCTGCATCGCTGGCCATCAGGAGGGACAGGAGTCTCTTTACCTGCTGAGAAGAGCCCCAGTTTGAGACAGGGGGTACAGGTATTTGCTGGACATTCATGCCACACCGGGGACTTCCCTGGTGCCTCAGCTGGTAGAGAACTTGCCTGCCGATGCAGGAGATGCAAGAGATGCAGGTTTGATGCCTGGGTTAGGAAGATTCCCCTGGAGATGGAAATGGCAACTTGCACCAGTATTCTTGCCTGGAAAATTCCATAGACAGAGATGCCTAGAGGACTACAGTCCATGGGGTTGCAGAGTCAGACACACCTGAGCACACATACACACACACATGCACACAGAGCAGACATCCTGAGATTTTTCTGATGTTGCTAAGCAAAGGCCAGCACTTATGAGGTGAGATCTTATTTGGAACACAGACAAAGTTTGAATAGTTACGCATTTATTTTCATGTATAACTAGCACATCAACATGTGACTGTGTGGATATATTGCTTAGTTAGCATAAGACTAAATTGGTAAGCGAGTAAAAAGAAAAAGGATGTTGAGTTAAAGAAAATATTAAGGAAGTGAGAGAACAGGAGGTCCTCATGTGATAAAAATTGTGGAGGTTATGGGAATGCCTGGAGTTTGGGACTCGCTGCTCTAAGCTTCAGGCAAGAAGCTCTGTTCCGGTCTGAAGCCTTTAAGGGGCCCTACACAGAAACCCTCCAGGTCCCGGAGCTCCGAGAATCCTCCGAAGAGCACGTGGTGCATTGAGACGACCCCAAGGAGGAAAGCACCTTTTGCTTCGTGTGTTCATGCCCTACAAAGTGTCTTAGAAGTTACAAAGCAACAAGTGATTCTTTTCTTAAAAGGGAAAAGAATCTTAGAGGTGTGGCCTTGAGTGGGCAGTGGTCATGGGGCAGCCTGGGCTGAAGGGCCCGGGCAGGGGTTGGGGGACACCCCGTTCCTGTCCTGGAGGAGTGTGTGAGAGTAAGTGTGTGTGTGTGAGCACAGCCCCCATCAAGGCTGCAGGAGGAACACCCAAGGGCTCCTGTGCTCTGCTCCCTGGCAAACAACAGGCACTTAACCTGTGTCTGCAGAATCACTTTTGCACACAGGAGGAGGTGCCAGAAGGCAGGTGGGGGAGTTGCTGACATCACCCTTGGGTGTCAGCGTGTCACCCTTTGTTCCTGCCGCTGCCGTGCAGGCTCATGCCTGGGCCTGAGCCCCATGTCAACACGGCCCCAAGGTGGGAAGGCCGTGCCACCAGGAGGGTCACTATCTTGTACATTTGTGAACAATGGAAGGTATTTCCCCACCTTCCCCCCAAATCCAAAGTATATTTCTCATCATTTAACCTTCAAATGTTAAAAATAGTGCTTTTTAAAGGACTCTGGGGTTGTACTCTAATAGCTCAGCACCCTCAGAGCTCATGGATCGTTGCTATGGACACAGGGTGCCCACTGGAGACTCACCCAACTGACCCCTGGAAACGGAGATCAAGGCCAGTGCTCGAGGGGCCAGAGCAGTGGAGGTGGGACCCCCGGGCATGATGCTCACAGTATGAAAGCCTTCTGGTGCCCAGAGGAGAGACAGAACCGCTGAGAGTCTGAAGGGTGCGCTGAGCTGGGAGGAGGCTGGGGCTCAGCGGCTGAAGTGACGGGCGGAGCTGCAAGCTGGTCCCTGTGTGTGGCTTGGAAGGAAAGCATGCCAGAACAGGTCGGGAAGGGACACAGGTTAGAGACGGGCCCCGACAAGCGGGGCTAGTGTGCAGCTGCAGCCCCTGGCCCGGGGGTGCCCCTCAGCAGCACCCCGCAGCACTCCGCTTCACGTGGCACGGCTTGCAGAAGAGACGGTTGTTCAGCGGGTAGCAGCCCTGGTCCGTGGGCTCCACAGACAGGAGGACCCTGCAGTCCTGCGGGAACAAGACACATGTGGATGGACCCAGGCCTGAGCCCTGCAGTGCGGAGCCCAAGCAGGTGGGACTCGCCAGCATCCATGGAGGAGATTAACTAAATCACCTGAGAGGAGAATCCAGGACTCTGGGAGAAGACAGGGCCCTTTGGTGGAGAAGCCCCCTGAGGGATCATGGAAAGGGCTGGAAGGGCCTTAAAAGCCCTCCCTGAGGTCCAGTGAGGGTTGGCGTCCACCCCAGGTCACAGCTGGTTCCAGAGCTAGGATAAGACCGGGTTTTCAGGCTCAGAGTCCAGGGGTCTTTTTGTTGTTCCACTGTTAACACAGCTTCAACACTGTCACAAACCTTCATCTTTCCAACTTTTAGATCCCCAAAATATTTTTTTTTATTTTATTAAAAAAATTTTTTTTTCCCCCAAAAGATTTTATTTATTTATCTGTTTTTTTGCCTAATTAGATTTTATTTCCATCTGGACAGCTTACTTTTTATGATGCGTGACGATATGATTTGTTTTTTGTTTTTCCTTCTGAACCCTGGATGAAAAGAAAACTCAGTTCTGGGAGGGACTGTCAGATAAGGGTACAGAATATGGTGAAATGGTGCTCGGTATCCTCAAGAAAATTAGCAAAATCAGTCCTAGAAGATCCCTTATTTGCCCTCTTGCTAGTTAATAAATAGACTGCTGTGGAAAGGGAGGAATAGATTCAAGGGCAAAGAAGGGTCCAGATGGGATGAGGAAAGCAGGGACAGGCGTGTCTACCCCACTGTCTCCTGCTCTCACTTACACCTGTCCTCTAAATAAAGCAGTAGTAGACTTTACTGCTACTGCTAAGTCACTTCAGTCGTGTCCGGCTCTGTGCGACCCCATCCCTGGGATTCTCCAGGCAAGAACACTGGAGTGGGTTGCCATTTCCTCCTCCATCCCCAAAAGATTTTAGAATGAGGTTGGGGATTCGGGGCCCAGACTTCGCTAAATTTACCATTTTGCCATAAGCCCGCACCTCACCTGGGCCTCACTTGGGCACATGCAGGAAATAACAAGAATGATGAACGTCCAGAGACCCACTCAGGGCATGGCTGGTGATCTCCTGAGCCACACAGATGAGACCAGAAAGGCTGATCTTAAGAGACAACTCAGGAGTCACAACCATCCTGATCCAGCTCCGCCAGCTGGGGAGGGCGCCCTCGTGTGTCTCTTCCTTGGAATTGCACCTTGAGTCTCTCAAGGTGACTCTGGGCTATTGAATGCCAGGATCTGTGCTATTCCTAACAGCCACTTGTTTGGCATTCTGAGAGCACCAAGCGCCAAACCTAAAGTCCCAAAGGGGCCCATGTGACCTCTTCTAAATTAGAATCAAATGAAGAAACACCTCAACTATGACCAAGTCACAGAGCCTGAGAAGGAGCTGCCAGGTGGCAGAAAGCTGTCAGACCCGGCCCAGAACACAGGGCAAAACCACTTTGTTCATCCTGAGTTTCCTCATCTTAAATGAAGACAGTAACTCCCACATCAAAAGCTCATCATTAGGATTAAATAAGGGGCTTCTCTGCTGGCTCAGACGGGAAAGAATCTGCTGCAATGCAGGAGACCAGGATTAGATCCCTGGGTTAGGAAGATCCCCTGAAGAAGAGAATGACTACCGCCTCCAGTATTCTTGCCTGGAAAATTCCATGGACAGAAAAGCCTGGTGGGCTACAGCCCATGATGTCGCAAAGAGTCGACATGACTATACAACTAACACTTCCACTTTTCAAGGTGATGTGTATGAAAGCATTTTACATTGAAAAATACTGAGTATGAAAGCGTTGTTACTCTTCTGGCAATTTTAAGAAATAACATGGACCACAATATAGGCAGGAACGGGGAATGCCCTGGCAGTCCAGTGGTTAAGACTGAGCTTGCACTGCAGGGGGTGTGGAGGAACTAAGATCATAGGCAGCACAGTACAGCGAAAAAAAAAGAGCAGGAATGGTGAGAAGAGTGTGGATGGCACCTTGAAACCCACTTCCCTTCCTAGAGAAACATTATCCACATCTCAGACCACTGCGGTTGAAGCCTTACTTTCTGAAATGCAGCTGCCAGAGTTCAAACTCTGACTCACAGAAGCAGCCTGGGCAACGTTCCCAATAAGCTGACCAAAGAGAAGCAGGGAGGGGTTTATTTGCTCACCATCCAGGCCCACAGAAATGCCAGTCACCACTGGACCTAATGTGGGCTATGGCAGGAATAACAGCATCTGAATTTCACCACTGTTCTTTCAAGATGTGTTATCAGCCGAACTTTGAACTATAACCAACACGTCAACATAACTATGAAGCAGTGTGTCAACTTCTTGATTAAACTCTCAGTCACTCTCAGTGAAAATGGCTTCTTGGCTCCAGACCTCTGCGTAAATGTGAGTGAATAAATGTTTGGAATCTCACTGGTTGATTAAGAGATTTGCTCTGTTACAAACTAATACATATAGGATGGATCAACATGGTCTATTGTACAGCACAGAGAACTATATTCAATACTCTGTGATAAACCATAATGGAAAGTGAAAATTGAAAGTGAAGTCGCTCAGTCGTGTCCGACTCTTTGCGACCCCATGGACTATAGCCCACCAGGCTCCTCCATCCATGGAATTTTCTAGGCAAGACTACGAAAAAGAACATACATATGTATAACTGAATCACTTTGCTGTACACCAGAAATTAACACAGCACTAGAAATCAACTACACTTCCATTAAAATTAAAAAAAAAAAAGAGAGAGAGAGATTTGCTCTGGGAGTCCCCACTTAGGTGATACCTTTGTCATCATCACCAAAACATCAGTGACATGAGGAAGACAGGAAAAGATAAGGGTGGATTCTTAGAGCCTGCCCGGCAGGACTGACTATATAATTGGCAGAGTCTGGGGCAAAATGAAAACACAGAGTCCCTTATTCAGAAATGCAGAATTTTAAGATGAAGAATTATAAAAAAATGGCAGCAGAGCTTCAAAGCAAACAGAGGATCCTTCTGAGCGTGAGGTCTGTGCGGCTCCCCAGGCATTTCTTGCTGGAACCGCTGTACCAGCTTCTAACCAGCCTCCCCACTCCCTGCGTGGAGCCTGAGGCAGACTCCTTAGCTTAGCACCTGGAGCCCTTTCCTTCTTTCTGGCCTCACTCTATATCCAGCAGCCTACACTCCAGACACAGCTAGGAACTTCCACTTCCTCCAATTCCTCGGGCCGTTTGTGCTACAGTAGGATTTCACAGGCCCTTCCTTGCCTCTTTCTGGACTTCTTTTCCCCCTTGGACTACGTGGCAAGCTTCTACGCATCCTGCAAAACCCAGGTTAAGTGCTGCCTCCTCTACGAGTGCCTTTGAGGGTTTCCCTGGTGGCTCAGGGGTAGAGAATCTGCCTGCCAATGCAGGAGACATGGGCTCAAGCCTTGATCTGGGAAGATCCCACATGCCTCAGAGCAGCTAAGCCACAACTACTGAGCCTGTGCTCTAGAGCTGGGGAACTGAAGCTACTGAGGCACACAGCCTAGAACACCCAACTGGAGAAGCCACTGCAAGGAGAAGCCCGTGTACCACAATTAGAGTAGGCCCCACTGGCCACAACTAGAGGAAAACCCATGCAGCCAGGAAGACCCAGGAGAGACAAAAATAAACTAGTAAATAAAATTAAGTAAGAGGGCTTTGATTGTACCAATCTTGATCACTTGACTTAATTACTGCCTTCTTTGCCCCAAAGCGGATTTATACATGATCTTTCGTAGCACCTTAAAAGGCCATCTGTGGTGTGGGTCTGCCCAGCATTCCTTTTGTCCTTCCTATGGTTGTATCAGGGCTTCCCTGGCGGTTCGGGGGGCTTTCCAGTTGGCTCAGTGGTGAAGAATCCTCCTGCCAATGCAGGAGACACAGGAGATGCGGGTTCGATCCCTGGGTTGGGAAGATCCCCTGGGAGGAGGAAATGCCTACCTACTTCTGTAATCTTGCCTGGAAAATTCTATGGAGCCTGGTGAGCAACAGTCCATGGACTCGAAGAGAGTTGGACACAATCAATCCCAATGATTACCAATAACAGCCCCCGCCACTGATTGATCCAGAATGGGCTATGTGATCCAAGTTGGGTCTTGGGACCCAAGTGAATCAGAGGTCTTGGGACTGTAAGGGATCACTGGATGGGGTTTCTAAGTTGGAAGGATGTAAACCTGAGCCAACCGTGTATCTCCTACCCCACAGAGAATGCCAGGGCATAGCGAGAGAAAATGAAGCAAACACTTGCATAAAGGCATGAACCAAGAGACGGACAGAAAGCCCTATGTCATTTGATGTCATCAATGACATCACCACCAAGAACCTTCCTGTTAAGATCCCCTTTCTTGTAGAAAGCAGGTTGAGTTTGGTTTCTATCATTAACTCAAAGACTAGATTTGTAGTTATTTCCATTCTTATTTGTCTCTGCTATTAGACAGCTTGGGCTAATGATTTTCTTCTTTTTGGCCACGCCATGTAGCAAGTGGGGTCTTAGTTCCCCAACCAGGGACTGAACCCACAACACTTGCATTGGAAGCTCAGCGTCTTAACCACAGGACTGCCAGGGAAGTCTTGGATGGTGAGCAATTTGAGATCAGAGCCCTCACCTGGACTTGTCTCAGCCCAGGGCCTGGCACACAGCAGGCTCTCAACAGGGCTCATGTGGTGATTGGACTGGACCAGCTACATCTAATTAAGTCAGCACTGTTCCACTCACCTCACACCGGTAGCAATTCTCATGGAAGTTTCTTCCCATGCACTCAATTTTGAAGGCATCCTTCCCATCTCGGGGGATGATGGGATTCTCACAGATGCTGCACACTGGGGCGAACTTCCTAGAGAGAAAGAAACCCAAGCTCAGGAGGCGTTCACACCCACGACCGCAGAAATTAGCTGTCAGAACCTGGGCTGGCTCTGGTTCACCTCCCAGAGCTATTTTGGATCCGTTGCTATGTGACTACACCTGGAGCTACAACCACAAATGCCTATTTCTTCCTGGCAGGAGCGAATGGAGACCTGGGTAATTAGACCCAGCTTCCCAGCGTATAATTAGCCCAAGGGAAGGAAGTGACTGAGGAACACTGGAATTTGAGAAAGCAGAGAAATCTCATGTGTGTGTTTCGGGTGAACCCATTTCATTGGTCTTGTATCATAGATCACTGCTTTTTCTTCTTTCCTTTTCTGCTAGGCGCTTCTGTCTCTCCCCTTGGGCAGTGATGGACAAGACTTCTCGGACATATGTGTCACCATTGCTCCATAGAGTTCTAGCTATGAGGGGAGGCACTGCGGTCTGGGGATTGACAGCAAGGTCCTGAAGTCAGGTCAACAGGGTTTGAATCACAGCTTCCGTACTTACCATCAGGGAGACTTAGGTACAGTGAGTCCCCTACATACAAATGATTTCTGTTCTGAGAGTGTGTTCGTAAGTCCAACAAAGTTATCCAACTAACACAGTTGGTTATAGAATATTATATTATAATAGGTTTATAATACTTTTCACACAAATATGTACATTAAAAACAAACACACAAAATAGGGAAAACATAATCTTATGATTGAAAAGTATAGTCGTACATACAACAGCTGGTCTACAGGGGCTGGCATCAAGTGAAGAGGCATCAAGTGAAAAGAGTTACTGAATGGGAGAAGGAAATGGCACCCCTACTCCAGTAGTCTTGCCTGGAGAATCCCATGGACAGAGGAGCCTGGCAGGCCACAGTTCATGGGATCGCAAGAGTCGGACATGACTTAGCAACCAAACCATCAAGCAGATAGAGCTAACCTTCTACATCTTGGGATTTAAAATACTTATCCCTCAGCCTTGTGCAGTCCCAGTGCAGTAGGATTTGGGCAGCAAGGCGAGCCCTGATGCCTGCATGTCTTTGTCTCTCTTAAACCAGCTGAAGCCCCAGTAGAAAAATTTCATGGCTGGGATTGTAGGGAGATGGCAGGATCCATTATGGACAAGCCAGAGAAGTTTGTTTTAAGTGGGAGTGGCATATATGTTTGAAATACTTTAAAATCACTAGAAAAAAAATTTAAGATTCTAATACTAATATGTTTAATGAGTAAAGGGATGTTTTAAAATTATGAATAAAAAACAAAACAAAACCAAAAAAAAATAAAAAGAGTTACTGAATGCAGGAGGAAGAAGAGGTGGGGGATGGTAGAGCTGAAGGATCGTCAGCAACAGGAGACAGAGCGCAAGCTGCAGTTTCACTCATGCCTGACGATGGCACAGCTTCTGTGCCATCTGATGGAATCAGATGCATGTTCGCATCTTTGAAGGTTTGTATGTAGGGGACCTACTGTACATATGTACTGCATGCCTCAGTTGCCACAATTGCTAAAACAGAACCTTTAATAGTGCCTGCCTATACTAACAGTTTTGAGATTAAATGGCCTAACCCAAGTGGAGTTGCTCAAAAAGAGTTAGCTACATAAAAAGCAACAGAAGTGGCTCATCTGTAGTGATGTGGATGAACCGAGAGCCTGTCACACAGAGTGAAGTGAGTCAAAAAGAGAAAAACAAGTATCGTATATTAACACATATATACGGAATCTACAAAAATGGTACAGATGAACCTGTTTGCAGGGCAGGAATAGGGACACAGATGTAGAGAACGTAACTGTGGACAGTGGAGGAAGGAGAGGGTGGGATGAATTGAAAGAGTAACACTGACACATATACACTATCATGTGTAAAACAGCTAGCTAGATGGGAAGCCAGTATCTAGCACAGAGAACTCAGCTTGGTGCTCTGAGACCTCAGGGGTGGGGTGGGGTAGTGGGAGGGAGTCTCTAGAGGGAGGGGATGTATGTATACATATAGCTGATTCACATTGTTGTATAGCTGAAACAGAACACTGTAAAGCAATGGTACTCCAGTTTAAAAAAAAAAGTGCCAGCGGCAAGCAGGTGGTCACTCAGACACAGGGTATGTGGAACAGGCAGTGGTGGTTTCTGCAGGCCCAGCGATGGCAGCATAGCTCTGACCCAGCCTCCAGCACTCAGGCTCAGCAACTCCATCCCACCCGAGGCCCACGCAGCCCTCCATGTGCGGTCCCCTCTCGTACCTGTAGAAGTCGTCCAGGCAGTACACCTCATTCTGACTGTCCAGGGCAAAGCTCTCGTCCCCGATGCACCGGGCACAGGTCACACACGTGAAGCAGGAGGGGTGGAAGGCCTGGCCCAGGGCCCGGATGATGTGTTCCCGGACAACCTCACCACACTTGCCACACTTCTCCAGGGTGTCCTGGGACAGAAGGCCACCGCCTCAGAGCCAGCCCGTGGGTGTGCCCCCTCCAAGCCACCAGGGGCACTGGACCAGCTACCCACAGGGGCCCAGGAGGCAGAGGTACAGGAGAGGTGCTCACATTCATGCAATCGGAACCCTAACTACTACCCCTAAACCTCCACGTTGCTTAAAGGAGATCAAGTTTGGCCCTGTATCCCTGGTTTACAGTGAGAAATCCCACCATGAAGCTATGACTGCATCTTTTTTTTGTGATTAGGAAATGCTCGATGCCAGGGTCCATGAGGGTCCATAGGAAAAATTTCTCTAAAGCTTCAGAATCAGTAAAAGGCATTCCTAGAGGAACTATCATGCTTTTTATCTTATGGATGATAAATCTTGAAACTTAGCATTTTCTATTTGGCCACTTGGAAGTTTCAGTCCGATTTCATGCTCCACTTTTAGGAATGAGTATAACGATCTTTCACATATTTTTGGAGTACTAACTTTCCTTGGATCTCATCTCACTTTCTACCTTGATTTCCTCTGTTTTATCAATTTATTTTATATCTCATGGTATTATGTGTGCACGTCAAGTCACTTCAGTTGTGTTTGACTGTTTGTGACCCTATGGACTGTAGCCCGCCAGGATTCTCTGGCCATGGGATTCTCTAGGCAAGAATACTGGAGTGGGTTGCCATGCCCTTCTCCAGGGGATCTTCCTAATCCAGGGATAGAACTTTGTTATGTCTCCTGCATTGGTAAGTGGGTACTTTACCACTAGCGCCACCTGGGAAGCCCTCTCATAGTATTATATGTATCCTTAAAATTTTTTGTGTGTTATTGCGGTAAGAATATCTAATATGAAATCTACCCTCTTAACAAAGTTTTAAGTGTTCAACATTATTACTGATTACAGTATCATGTGCACTCTATTTTTAAAACAGTATTTATTTGACTGCGCTGGGTCTTGGTTGCAGCGTCTGGAATCTAGTTCCCCAACCAGGGATCAAACCTGGGCCTCCTGCACTGGAAGAATGGAGTCTTGGCCACTGAACCACCAGGGAGGTCTCTATATGTGCATTCTTACAAGCTACCTCAAATCCCTTCTGGAATGAGGCGGGATGACAGAGAGAGAAGGAGAGAGAAAGGGGTAGGTATTACTGAGGCAGAGCAGAGGGCCTCCCGCTGACTCATCTACCTCTCCTGCATGTCTTTTCCCCTCCTGGCTGTGCTCTTGTTCAACATAACCTGACTGCTTCTGGACAGATGTGTCAGGTGGGGGCAGCATTTCCTGCTTCCCCCCTCTACTGGCTGCTGAAGGCCCTCCTGGCTGCTCTCAGCTAAAACTGCACCCTCACCCCTTCTCCACCCCCCCACCCCACTTCACCCCTGCCTGGCTCCGCGCTGGGGAAGGGCATAAGGACATCAGAGAAGTCACACTGATGGGAGTCAGAGGGTCAGGGTGGGACGGCCTGGCTCCTCTCTCCTCCCATAGCTCCTCGATGCCTGGGATCAGGTCACTCTGAGTTTTCTAAACAGTCCCGACTCCAAATGTTCTAACCCTTCACATCAGTAGTTTTCAGACTTCAGTGTGTAGCGGGATCACTGGAGAGACTTGTTAAAAATGCAGATTGCCAGGTGCCACCAATCTATGAGGACAAGCTGAGGTTGACTGCACCCCCAGGGATCCATACGGGAGGTCTGTACACCACACGGAGAAATGCCACCACGTACCGCTGGAGAGTTAGCAATTCCAGCACCTTTGCATCCAAATGAGTGCTTCCAGACTACACGTAGTACCCAGAGATGCCCCATCACACCACACCCTGGAACTTTGTGGCTCTAGGTGAGGGAGTGGCAAGACCACAAACAGGGTCCAGAACCAGCCAGGGCCGGGGCCGGGGCAGGTCACCAGCTCCACCACTGACCAGAGTGTGAGAGTGTGACAGGCTGAATGATGCCCCCAAAGGTATCCAGGTTCCAAGCCCTGGAGCCTGTGACTGCCTAACATGGCAAGAGAGACTTTGCAGGGAATTCCCTGGTGGTCCAGTAGTAAGGACTCAGGACTCCCATGTGGTGCAGCGCAGCCAAAAGAAAAAAAACCACCACCACTAGACTTTGCAGGTGTGATTGAGTTAAGGATCTTGGGATGGGGAGGCTCATAGGCTTAGAGAATGAACTTTTTTTCTGGCCTTGCCACACAGTATGTGGGATCTTAGTTCCCCAACCAGGGATCACACCCATGCCCCGAATTGGAAGCTCGGAGTCTTGTTAAGGCTTTTATTAAATGGATTGCCAGGGAAGTCCCTAGAGAATGAACTTAAGGTTCCCAGGGGAAAGGGACAGTAAGGGAGTTTGGGATGGACATGTACACACCTGCTATATTTAAGATGGATAACCAACAAGTACAGCACAGGGAACTCTGCTCAATTTTTATGTGGCAGCCTGGATGGCCAGGGAGTCTGGGGAGAACAGATACGTGAACATGTGTGACTGAGTTCCTTTGCGGTTCACCTGAAACTATCACAACATTGTTAATCGACTACACTCTAATACAAAACAAAAAGTTAACAGCAAAAAGAAGAGACTTTGCAGGTGTGACTGAGCTAAGGATCTTGGGATGGGGAGATCAACTTGGTTATCCATATGGGCCCCAAATGTCATCACGAGTATCTTTAAAAGAGGAAGGCGGAGGGAGACCTGATACAGAGAGAAAAAAGAAACTGATGCAAGATGCCACACTGCTGACTCTGAAAATGGACAAAGGAGCCAAGAAATGCAGCTTTTGGAAGCAGGAAAAGGTGAGAAAGGAATTCTCCCCTAAAGCCTCCGGAGGGAGGAAAACACTGATTCTAACTCAGTGAAACTGATTTTGGACCTTGGACCTCCAGAATCATAAGAGAATAAGTATGTATCATTTGAAACCACCAGGTTTGTGGTCATTTGTTACAGCAGCCATAGGAAACGCACACACCTTGGCGGAGTTCCTCTCCGAGCCTCAGCTTCCTCATCTGTAAAATGGGTCACTAGCGCCTACCTCCCCAGATGGTTGTGGGAAAAGAGGTGCTCAGTGCTGGCACCTAGAGAATGGCCCCGGGCTTACCTGGTAGCAGGGTTCACAGAGGGGCCGCCCATCCTTCTGATAGAAGCTCTGCCCGGCCAGCTGGCGGCGGCAGACACGGCACGTGAAGCACTGGGCGTGGTACTGCCTCTTCATGGCCTCTACGGCCAGCTCTCGGGGGGACACAGTCTTGTGGCAGAAGGCACAGATGTCTAGGGCAGAGGAAACACAGGCTGTGATCTGACCAGCCTGGGAGAGTTGTACCCAGTCACCACCCAGGACCTATCTGGAGAGCCAGGTCTCTGCCTCAAACCCCTATAGGCTGTAAGCACAGCCTCGGCTCATGGGGAGGATCATGAGGGACATTAAGAAGGAAGGTGGTGGGCTTTAAAAGGCTAAAATCAAGGTGCTTCCCTGGCAGTACAGTGGTTAAGACTCTGTGCTTCAAATGCTGGGGGCTTAGGTTCAATCCCTGGTGGGGGAACTAAATCTCACATGCCACACAGTGTGGCCCCCCCAAAAAAAAAAGCTAAAATTCAGACAGGTAGTGTTAGGACAAATGAGTTGCCATCTGCAAAAAAATCAACACAAGACAGACAGCTCCATCGTGACAGCTTACACCCAGCTAATTCCAAACGTAGCAAAGATTCAAATGTGAAAAGGGGAACTGTAAGAACACTGGAAGAAGCCAGAGAAGAATTACTTTATAACCTGGGACTAGAGGAGGCCTTGGTACACAGTAGGCACTTAACAGCCATTTATTAAATGAGTTAACAGACGGTGCTGGAGAAGCTGTGAGCAGATGGGCACTCGTGACACCATTGGTGGGAGTGTAGACAGGGATGACCAAAAAGGACAACTTGGCAAAAATATCACAGTGCCTCCTCTTCTAGGAATTTATCTCATGAACTTGCACACAGGCAAAATGACCAGGTGCAAGGCAATTCACTCAGCATGACCACCTGAGCACCTGTCCACAGGCAACCAGTTAAATGCATGTAGTTAGGCCCAGCTAAGGAATACTATGCAGCTGTGAAAAAGAACAAGGAAACTCCTTATGTTCTGATGTTGAATGAATTCTAAGACTGAATGAAGAAAAGAAAGCAAAGTGCAGAACAGTGCAGAGCTTGCTCCTATTTGTGAGGAAGGACATATTTGTATCTGCTTGCATATGCATAAGATACCTCTGAAGGATGTGCACAAGATATTAATAGATTGTTTATCTGGAATGTGCCTTTCTGTGCCTTTTATTTTTATTTATTTCTCAAAAAATTTGTCTCTGTATTTATTTGGCCATGCAGGGTCTTAGATGCGGCAAGTAAGATCTTTAGTTGCAGCTTTCGAACTCTTAGTTCTGGCATGTGGGATCAAGTTCCCTGACCAGAGATCGAACCAGGGCTCCCTGCATTGGGAATGCAGAGTCTTAGCCACTGGACCACCGGAGAAGTTCCTTGTGCTTTTATTTTGTACTATGTAACTGTGTTATGTATTCAAAAACTTAAATGGTGAAAAAAATTCAAGGCATTTTTGCCATCATGGCAAATTTTGCAGATCAATATTTAAATGGATTTTAGTTATAAAGGAAAAAAAGGTTAAGGCAGTAAAAATAAAATTGCCTCACAACGATAAGGCCCATTACTGCACTGTGAGCTGGTCCCTGTTCCCCCAGCTGCCCCCGTAAGTCCATGTTGGCCCCACAAGGGCCCAAGTGGGCCACACAGACTCCTTTCGGTCACACCTGTGGAGGCCTCTCTCTCAGGGAAGCCGGCAGGCTCTTCTGGTGGGGGCGGCAGCTCCTCCTCTGCAGGCTTGAGATGACTGGGCCGAGGCTGCAGTGGAGGCCCCTCCACCAGGGGCTGTGGGGCAGAGGGGAGAAGAGTCATCCAACAGGGACACCACACAGTTCTGCCACTCATCTGGTGGCGCCAGGCACAATTAGCCCCCCTCCCCTTTAAGTTTTTATTTTTAGCTGTGCCTGGTCCTTGCTGTTTGGGCTTTTCTCTAGTTGTAGGGGGCGGGGCTACTCTCTAGTTGCAGTGAGCGGGCCTCTCACTGTGGTAGCCCCTCCTGATGCAGAGCCCAGGCTCTGAGGCCGCACTAGCTGTGGCTTCCAGGCTCCAGAGCACAGGCTCAGTAGTTGAGGTGCATGGGCTTAGCTGCCCCATGGCATGTGGGACCCTCCTGGACCAAGGATCTCCTGCACTGGCAGGCAGATTCTTCACTGCTGAGCCACCGGGAAAGCCCCCCTGTGGTGAACCCCCTGGTACAGAGGCATAAACTGAGGCCAGCTCTCCCAACTCCTTGCTCTGGGTTCCTTCATCCAGTCAATGCTACTTCCTTCGGCTTCTAAGGAACCTTCCTGGAGTCATGGTTTCCCTCGGCCTGGAACCCTCCTATGTCTACAATGCCCCGTCAAGGGCAGAGGGTTAGAGATGGGTTTCCTCTGCAGATGAAGGATTTAGATTAGATGCAGGGGAATGTCCTCCTCAGAGCTGATGGAGGTACTGAAGTGGAAAGGGTGTGGCATCCCTTCTCCAAGGATCTTGAAAAACACATCCAACTTTTACCAGCCTGAAAGAGCTTTGAAGACGGACTGTGTCGGAGAAGGGACCTAACAACCTCCAGGCTTAAAATCTTGAAGGCCCCCGCCCCTCCCTCCTTTGACCCGTGGAGCTCCATCAGGTACCGGGGGTTGGCAGTACCTGTGGTGGGGGTGGGGGTGGGGGAGGGGGCAGGTGCAACTGCTCTAAGTCTGAAATGAGTGACGCCCCCATCGCGGAGGGGGGCTCTTCGTCAGGAGGGGGCAGGTCCGCTGGAGGGGGCGGAGGCGGAGGTGGGAGGAGGTCCAGGTCTGGAAGTGCATCGTCAACGTCCAGGGGCGGAGGAGGAAGCGAACACCCTGCAACCAGAGGGAGCGAACGGGTTGGCCAGCGTCTCCGCAGGTGCACAGAAGAGGTGACACTTACCCAGGAGGCCGGGCAGCATGGTGGCTGAGGGCTCAGGTCCAGTGTCACGCAGACCTGGGTTCCAGCTCTGACCCCACCACTGATGTGCTGGGTGTCCTTAAGCAAGAAACCATCTCTCTGAGCCTCAGTTTGCTAAACTGGGACATGGGTCTCAATCTCTTAGGGTGGTTCATGAGGATTAAGTAAAACGATGCAGGTAAGGGCTTAGCATGTGGCCCAGGCTCAGAAAACAGTGGCTGCCAAAGCCTTTCATAACAAGCCTCCCCCAGCGGGGTGCCGGAGCACTGGAAACCCCATAAGAAGGGCCTTGTTCAAATGTAAGCAAAACCAGCTCCTAAGATGGTGGTTCTCAAGGTGTCACTCCTGGACCGCCAGCAGTGGCATCACCTGGGACCTTGTTAGAAACACAACTTCTCAGCCCACCGTGGAGCTGCAGAATCAGACGCTCTGGGGCAGCGCCTGGTCATGGGGTGTTTAGGAAGCCCTCTAAGTGACGCTGATGCCACTCAAGGTTGTGAACCACTGCCTAGTTACATAACAGACTCAGGTAATGACTGTCAGGTGTTGAAAGTATCAAGGGGACGACAGTCAGTAGGGAACTTTCCAGAGAAGCTGCTCAACTATCACCACCACCACTCGAACCCACCGATAACCCCCAGCAGACATCAGAGGTCTTCTGATTTGTGTTACCTATCAGAAAGGATGGGTGCCACTGATGAAATGTCCTTACCAAAAAGAAAAAACCCAAGGGAATTCCCTGGAAGGCCAGTGGCTAGGGCTCCGTGATTCCACTGCAGGGGACACAGGTTCGATCCCTGCTTGGGGAGCTAAGATCCTGCATGCAGCATGGTGTGGCCAAAAAAAAAGTGAGGGGGAACAGAGGGACAAGTTGGATGAGACCACACAGGGACTCAAAAGAACCAGTCAGCATACAGGACATTCTACAGAAATGGACTGTTTCTGTAGGAAATTAAAGGCATGTAAAGATCAAGAGAGGGGATGTCCCTAGAATTAAGAGATTTATATAATGTATAGATCTGTGCTGTCCAGTGCAGAAGCCACCAGCCACTCAATGTGGCTATTGAGATGTGTTTAGTACTAAAAAAAAGAATGTAAAATATCTCATTGATAAAAGTAACATCTTTTTACTTTCTTCAGCATGGATACTAGAAAAATTTCAGTTACATAAGAGGTTTGCTTTTGTGACTTGCATATTTTATTGGCCAGCACAGCTATGGACCTCACTTGGGTCCCTTGCAGACAAGGGAAAGCTAAAGCATGTCAATTATGGACAGACTATTAGATAATCCTAAGGCATTCCTGTTGATTTTGTTATGTGTTGCTTGGGCTTGAGGTTATATAAGAAAACAACCATTCTTACCATATGTAAGAATGTGGGGCTGAAATGACTTGATTATTGGCATTTCCTTTAAATACTTCACAAGAGGAAAAAAAAGGAACAGATGAAACAAATGTGGCCAGATCTCAGTAACTGCTGAAACCACATGTGGGGTATACACGGCTCCTTGTACTGTTTTCCTTGTTGTTTGTTGTTTAATTACTAAATTGTATCTGACTCTTACACTCATAATAGTGTAACCTCCACCCCTCCAGGTTGTCCTGACAAGGGGCTGCCCAGCTCCCTAGGACTCCTTCTGGAACTCCACCTGGAGAGGTCAGGAGAGAAACCACAGTGCAGGACTGTGTCCACTGCCACACTCAGGGTGAGTGCTATCAACAGTGCCCTGGGACAAAGAGCATGAAGGCACTCTGCCTACCTCCTATCATGGGGGCATGAGGTTGGCCAGGCTCCAGCGAGGTCAGACCACCCTAAACACTTAGGGAAAGCAGGCAGAAAGGGTTTGAAACCCGGCTGCCTGAAGGCCTGGGCTCTGGTCCCATTTCCTGCATGTTCGCTGAGGCACCTCTCTGGCTTCAGGTTTCCCACCCATTCGACAAAGATAAGCCCTCTCTGTTCTCTCAAGGGCTACACAGATGGAAAGCTTGTTCTAGACCTCTGGGTCAGCCCCAGAATCACCCAGAGGCTTTTCCAAAAGCCAAAGGCTGGGCCCCACCCCAGCGTTTCAGATTCAGCAGGTTTGGAGTAAGCTTTGGGAATTGACATTTTTTAAATGACACTGAATTTACACTAAAATTTACATTTCCCAGGTCATGCCGATGCTGCAGGTTCAAAGGCCAAACTTTGAGAACTACTAATCTGCAAGTCTCATCTGCTGACGAGATATTCATTCTCTAAGTGTGGTCCCCAGGCCAGAGCATCAGCATTACCTGGAAACATGTAAGAAATGCAAATTCTTGGGCCCCACTGCAGACTTGCTGAATCAGGAAGGCCCAGGGTGGGGCTCAGCTGGCTGGGTTGGAACAAGCCCCCAGGAGATGCTGAGGCTGCTAAAGTGTGAGAATCTGTGCTACGTGAGCTGACTGAGTCAAGAACCAGGTCAGACAGCAGAAGCACTGAGGCCTCTCCCAAATGCCTGAGGTTCTCGACATTTGGCTGTGAAGGGTGGGCAGGTCCCAGCTAGGGCAGGAATTCAAGAGAGAGAGAGAGGGGAGACTTCTGCCAGGATGAAAGGGTTCAAGAAATGCTGGTGGGTTCCTGAGGGGACAGGGCTTCCCTGTGGTTCAGCTGGTAAAGAATCCGCCTGCAATGCGGGAGGCCTGGGTTCGATTTCTGAGTTGGGAAGATCCTCGGCAGAAGGGAAAGGCTACCCACTCCAATATTCTGGCCTGGAGAATTCCATGGATTGTATAGTCCACGGGGTGGTAAAAAGTCAGACACGACTGAGTGACTTTCATTCATTCCTGCGGGGACAAGCATAGGTCAGGTGTGAGTTGACGGCCTGCTGTAGAGTTGGCTTTAAGCAGAGGGTAGGCCCCCAGAGCCCACCTCTGTGTTTTGTGGTCAGACTTATGACCTCTGCTCACCTAGAACTTCTTACTCCAAGCAGGGCTGAGCCCCAAGATTGCCAAGTTAGCCAGCAACATGGCTAACTAGCCACTGTAAGTCTATTCCCCAACTGAGGAAGGTCTGGTCAGGTTTTGCAACCACACTCCCAGGATCTTCTGCCTATAATTCCAAAGAGTCATGAAGACATCCCAGAAGATTTGGCATTTTGGCATCTAAACTCTATTTACTAGGCGCCCCCTCTCCTACCCAGAAGGAACATATTTTTTTTTTCATTGGGTCAATGTCCTGAGGTGTGAATTTTGGTCATCACGGTCCAGGTTCTTCTATACAAGACTCCCCTGGTGGTCCAGTGGTTAGGACTCAGGGCATTCACTGCCAGGTCTTTGATTCCATCCCTGGTTTGGGAACTAAGATGCCCCAAGCTGCGAGGGATGGCCAAAAAGAAAAACGAGAAGTAGCAGGAGGATGTTCTTGGCATGCGTGGTTAGGAAGGAAAGATCAGTTTAGGAGGCTGGATTATAATGAAGCAGCATGTTATACAAATATCCAAGTACACTTATGTGTGTTCACGTGTGGTCCCTTCTTCCTCCTGTGTTTGGCTTCCTATAACCAACATTTCCTTTTGGTCTCTGGGGATTCTCTGGTGACCAGATGGTAAAGAATCCACCTGCAATGCAGGAGATCCAGGTCTGAACCCTGGGTCAGGAAGATCCCATGGAGAAGGGAATGTCTACCTACTCTAGTATTCTTGCCTGGAGAATTCCATGGGTAGAGGAGCCTGGTGGACATTCATGGGGTTGCAAAGAGTCAGACAAGACTCGGCAAAGAACACTTTCACTTTTTCACTTTCTGGTCTCAAGGTGGTTTCCATGGTGATGGATGCACAAGGCTTCCTTAGCCTCGCTCTGGAACAGCAGGACACCTGACTAGGCACCCGAGGACTCCAACATTAAGCATCTCATTGCCTCCTTGTTCCAACTGGTGCCCTTTAGATGAGCAGCTGCCTCAGGCCCCGAGCTCGTCATCCTTCCTTGCTACTCTCCAATAGCTGATATTTCACATAACATTTGCTCATTGTTCAGTTGCTAAGTCTTGTCAAACTCTTTGTGATCCCATGGACAGTAGCCTGCCAGACTCCTCTGTCCATGGGATTTCCCAGGCAAGAATAGTGGAGTAAGGTTGACATTTCCTTCTCTAGGGGATCTTCCTGGACCAGGGATCGAACCCTTGTCTCCTGCATTAGCAGGCAGATTCTTTACCACTGAGCCGCCAGGGAAGCCCATTCACATCACATACACGACCAAATTTCCATCCCCCAGAGGAAGAAACTGAAGTTTAGAGGAGGAAACTGCTTGCCTAAGATCACACAGCAAGTGGATGAAGAGCTCAACAGAGGACAGTTCCTTCAACTTACCAAATTCATCCCTGCCTCAGGGCCTTTGCACTAACTGTTCCCATTTCTCTTCTAGCTCCACAGTGTCCTTTAAGTCTTAACTGAGCTGAGATGTTACCTTCTTGGAGAAGCCATCCTGTTTACCCCATAAAAAGTTGCACCTCCCCAACTCTTTACTGTGTTTAATTCTGAAATAGTATTTGTGTCTTTCTGATATGATATTTTGTTTTTACTATGTTTCCCCCACTAGGATGTAAGTTTTATCCCCAGTGTCTGGCTCCGAATAATAAGCAGTAGGTATTCAGCACTTTCTACATGGCAGGTCCTGGGAGCAACACTTTCCATATGTGTTAATTCATCTAAATCCTCACAAGGACCCTTTGAGGTGGCTACTATCATTATTTCTATTTTACAGATTGAGAAACCGAGGAACAGAGAGGTTAAGTGGCCTGCCAAAATCACACAGCCAACAAGCAGAGGAGTCAGGATTCAAACCCAGTCAGGTGGATTCCAGAGTCAGCCTGGAACGTAGTAGGGGCTCAGTGAATGACCTGAGAGCCTGCCCTTCCCTCCCCATTTCAGGGCTGCCTCTGAGACAGTCTCCCAGTCTCACCCTCTTACCTCCATTGGAGAGCTGAGGTGGACCAGCTGGCCCTGGGGCTGCAGCCCTGCCAGGGGGCATCCAGGAATGGAGCTTTCCCACTGAGCCAGCTTTGGGAGCCTTTGTGGGGGCAGGAGATTCCCAGGGGCGGCCAGGCCGGGCTTCACAAGCTGCTCGCCTCACCTCCTCAACCACGGCCTCATCTCGACGTGGGGGCGCCAGGGTGATAAAGACAGACGAGGCGACCCTCTTCTCAGGCTTGGAGGCCATTGTTTCAGCTTCTGGTGGGGCTGAGGACAGAGTGGGCCTCAGGCTTGGCCAACATTCAGGGCGCGCCACCTGGACACCAGACACGCCCAGGGCAGGGAGCCTCCCTCTCCGAACAAGACAGGAGCAGCCACCCACGGTGCCAGCACCCCACCCAGCCACACAAGGGGTGGCAGATGTCCCCCAGGGAAGGGCAGGTGCCCACCAGGTGACCTGGCCACAGAGGGGGACCCAGCAGTCCTGACTGCCCATCCCCCAACTGCACACCTGGTGGAACAAAGGGCAGCCCTGCCCTGCTCACCGCACCAATGATTAATTTCCCTCCTCCAAGGAGCATGAGGGAGGGGCCGCTCTCCAGCTCCCCACCCTCGGCACTACTGACTGCCAGGCCCAGCCCAGGGCCGCACCCCGAACTACCTCCCTCACCTGGGATCTGGATTTTCCTAGGAAGGCTGAGGTCCCCAACGTCCAGGCCAGCTCCCCTGTGGGAGGGAGACAGGGTGAATCAACGGTTAGAACATCAGTGCTGGATTCCAGGAGGCAACCATCAGAGCCACCGTTTACCAAGGCCTATCCTGTGCCAGCCCTGCCCTAAGCACCCATTAACTCACACACCTCCCACGGCTGCAGCGGGAGAAGCACTGTTACCATCCCCGTCTTACAGATGAGGAAGCCCAGAGGAAGAAGTGGAAGTCATTCATTCAGGGTCATGGAGCAGGGAACTTGGGATCTGAACCCAGAGCCCATGCTCTTGGCCACCCGGCTCTGCTACCCTCTCCTGACCCAGCTCACAAACCAGCATCCTGTGCTCAGCCCTCAGCTCCACATCCAATCAACTCTTAATCCTGTGGCCAGAATCTCTCCTGCTCTCATCTCCAAAGTCATGCCCTGGTTCAGGCAAAGGGGTGAGTGCCTCAAGGATCTCCAATCCGGCCTCTAGAGTGATCTTTCTGGAGCATTAATCTGTTTCTTCTCTACTCAAAAGGCTTCCATGGCTCCCTACTACCTTCAAAATAAAGTCCAAATTCCCCTGGCCTCAACCTATTTTTGACCACCTTGGACCACGCACCCTTCCTGGACCATCTTTCTCCCTTACTTGTCCTGGCATGTTCCTACCATCTGTCTTTCCCGCCCAGTGCAGGGTAAATTCATTTTTCCTTAGAAGCCCAGTGCAAACATCACCTCCTCCCTGAAGCCTCCCCTGATTTCCTACTTGAGGGTAGTTGTCTACTCCACAGGGCAATGACAGCCCACCACAGGCCACGCTGGCTCACCATCATGTCTGCCCGCTCCCTAGAAGTGACCTCATTTGCTTTCAACTGCATCTGTGGCCTTTGCATGACCCAAGTCCAGCTCACAGGAGACATAAAGCATGGATCTGCGAGCAGGGCAGTATCCGGACCAGGGAGAGTGCACTTTCCTTCTCTCAGGTGGTTCCTGCCAAGAGTAGGCTCTGGGGCCAGGGATGAGGTGGGGTCATGGGGTGGGGCAAGTTGTCCACACTCAGCTCCAGTGTTCTTACTGGTCACCCAGGGCTTGTGCCCAGGGAAGGAACTGTCCTTTTTCTATCTTATTCTCCATATGGGCCACCTTGACTCAGCCCCAAAGGCTGGCCCACAGGGACTCTAATGACCTGAGCCTGAGTGGCCACTCAAAGGCCTCCCTCCACCAGCCGCTGTGGACTCCTGGAGACTGATGGAGAATAGTAATCATATACATTCCTAAATTCCCTTTAAATTGATTTATCTTTGATTAAAATGTGTAGCTCATTCTGATAATAAAATATCTGTTCTGAAAAAGAAAACAATATAGGAATAAAACTTCTAAAGTTCTTGTAAAGTAGTTCTCTTTTGTTTCTTGTTTTGTAAGTGATGTTTGGAAGTACATATGCTTCTATTGGCTGGCCTCCTCTCAGGCTTCATACTTTGTTACAAGTTTAAGTATCTATTTTTGCAAACAAGTTTCAGAGTGCATCTAAGGTTTAAATACAAGAACAAGGGTACCCACTGATAAAGTGCTTGCCCTGTGCCAGGCATTGCAGCCAGTGCTTACTGAGGCTTCAAAGTCACATAATTCTTGGGACTTCCCTGGCAGTCCAGTGGTTAAGACTCAAATCCCACGCACCCTTCCTGCACAGCACAGCCAAAATAATAATAAAAATAATTATAAAACAATACATTAAAAAAGACACTTAATTCTTAACACATATTGCTATGCCCCCATTTCATTTTTAAAAATATTTGTCCGCAGCGAGTCTTAGTTGCGGCCTGCATGGCGTGTCGCACGGCGTGTGGCATGAACTGTGGGGCCCCTGCATTGAAAGGATGGAGTTTCAGCCACTGGACCATCAGGGAAGTCCTGCCCCCACTGTATAGATGAGGCCACGTGAGGCCCCAAGCAAGAGGTTGGAGACCTGGAATTCTAACAGAGCAGGATCCAACCTGGAAGTCCAGGGGGTATCCTTGGGCCTGAGAGGTCACATTTTTTTCCCCTGAATGATTCAGGGTGGGTGGAGGTGGGGAGGCAAAATCTCCAGGCCTGTTCTTACACAGAATGGCTCAATCCAGACCAATTATCAGACGGCCAGTAAGCTCTGGGCTCATCCCCGGAGGCTGCGGAGGGTGCCTTCTCTGCCTCGCTCCCATCCTGCCCTGAACCCCACTCTACCCCAGCACAGCCCTCCGGGAAATCAGATCTGCTGGCTTCTCAGAAAATGTCCAGGACGAACATCCCAGCACTGAAGCCAGATGTTCACAGCTGGGCAGCACTCCCCACCCCCACCCCCCCAACCAACCCAGGCCTATCCCTTCCCAGCGCTTCCAACTGGGACTTCAGGCCCCAGGGGAAGGGGCCGAGCTAGGGATTTTCAAAGCCCTGTCAGTCAGACCCGAGCAGGAAAGGGAGCCAAGGCTCCCCTCGGGTCCCAGTGCCCCCCAGGTCACCCTGGAGCGGGGGTGTGTGAGAAAGCTCCCTGCCGGGCAGCCTCACAGCCAGCCCAGCCCGGGGGACCCTCGGCCGCCACCCTTCCTCCCCCAGAGGACCAATGTGAGATCCAGTTGGGTAAGCGGAGAAAGTGGAAACAAAGGGAAAGAAAGTCATTTCCTGTTAAGAGGAAGGAAGGAGGCTGAGATTCAGCCACCCACCCAGCCCAGCTTTAGGCTGCAGCCCAGGGCAGGGGCAGGGCTGGCTGACCCGGAGGGCCTTCAGGGATGGGGATAGTCCCCCAGCAGGCTCTCTGTCCCTGGTCCTACTCCTCCCAAACCCTCTGGGACCACCTCTAAGCTGTGCTCTTCAGTACTCCGAGAAAGCGGCCGAGGCTTGGTTGGGAGTTAAATTGCAGGCAGTGGGAGTGAAACTGAGCCCCCTCCCCTGGCCCTGCAGGGTACCTTGCAGCCTGGGACAGAAGGGCCTCCCCCTCTCTCCCACCCCAGGGAAGTGGAGGAGGTACACAGGGCTGAGTTCATCCCCAACCCCACCTCCTTCCTGCTGGGCCACTCTAAGGAGGTCACTGAACCTCTCTGGGCCTCTGTTATTTCAAAGAGTGGAAATAATGAGGTCTTTTTGGAAGAGTGGCTGAGAGGATAAAAGAAGAGGGGTGCTCAAGATCTTGGTACTGGGTAGGTGCCAAGAGAAAGCCGGATGGTTATTCAGTACCTCAGGCGAGAGGCGGAACCCCGGGGCGGGGGGGGGGGGGGAGCGCTGAGAAGACCAGGACTTGGCTTCCATCAGTGTGCAGTAGAGGGATCTGGGCGCTGCCCAGCCTCTCGGCGGGGTCCTCAGAATCTGGGCTGGAGGAGGACTCAGGCCAGGGTGCCCCAGGCACACACCCTGGGGATAGCTCAGTCCCACCCCTTCCCAGCACCGCCCCCGCCCCCCAAGAGGGTCTGAGGCCCAGAGAGGGGCAGTTCCGCGGCCCCTGCTGCCCCTCGCCTAACCCCGGCTGGGGAAAGGGGCCCAGAGCTTCCCGGACCTTCGGAAACCCGGCGCCCTCGCGCAAACACCCCGGCGGGACGGCTGGCCGGGTCACGGTGGGGCGCCGCCGGGGACTTTAATTCGATCCATGTGCGGGACGCTGTCCTCTTTGTGCGGGAGCTTCCGCCCTGCTTCCATCCCTTCTCTCCGCGTGCCGGTCCCGGGCAGGGACACCCGCGCTACCTCCAGACCTGCCCTCCCTCCGCTCGGGGAACAGAGACCCGCACCCCCGGCCCCCTGTCCCGCGGGCCCCCCTGGGAGCGCCGGAGCTGGGGTCCGGGCGGGGGCGCGGGGTTGCGCGCCTGCCAGGGGCTGCCCGCGCTGTCACCTGTGTGTAGCCAGGGGCGCGGACGGCAGGACGGGACCCCCACCCCACCCCACCCCACCCCGCTCCGCTTACCTGAGCCGCCCGCGCCCCCGGCGGCTCCGGTCGGTCACCCGATTGAGCAGAGCCAGGAGCGGCGCGGCGCCTCCCGCCCCCTCCGCCCTCCCCGCCCCCTCGGCTCCCTCCGCCCCGCCGCCCAGGCCGCCTTACCATAAAAGGTGAAGCTTGGGGGGAGGGGGCCCGGGCTTCCCGCCGGGCGGAAGCGGCCCCTACCTGCCCCCCCACACCTGCCGGGCCGCGCCCCGCACCGCCCCCTCCCCGCTCCCTTTGTTCCCTCGACCCCTCCTCCCTTCCCCTTGGCCCAGGCCTGGAAGGTGGGCGGCCTCCTTGGGTGCCCACTCTCCTCGTCCTTTGTGAACCCAGAGTGGTCCTCCCCCACCCCCCTCCCCGAGGTCACCTGGGGTGGTGGCCCTACCAGTTTGGCCTGGGATCTCCCAAGGTCTTAAGGGTCAGGTGGGACCTGGATTCCCTGGAGATTCACTAATCTTGTGACACTTGGCAGTCAGGCCACCTTCTTGAGCCTCAGTTTCTTCGCCTCTAAAATGGGGCTAATGACCTGTCTGGACCCTAACGCCTTCTGCACGTGGGTCGCAGAGTCCTGGGGGGACAGGGTTCTCTGGGAGGCCTGGTAGACAGGGCCTCGCTG